GCTGGGTTTCAGCCACATTGGCTCCTTAAATCCTTCAAGTTCCCTGTTAGTGTCTCTAGGCAATGGCATTACCTGCTTCGCCTGACCTCTACACTATTCTGTCTTCCCCCATAAGACTGGCTCCTTCCTGTGTTCTGCTCCCTGACCACCAACATAAATTAGACCACCTCTTACTCAGTCTCTGTCTCATCACCTGATTTATTTTTTGCCACCTCTTCTGTCAGAAATTAACTCCTTATTTATTTATGAATAAATAAAATTATCATTCACTGAGCAGTGTTTATGTGCCAATCATTGCTCCTTAAGGGCTTCCATTATAATAACTCATTTAGTGCTGATAATGACCCAATAAACCCATTACAAAGACACAAATAGATTAAATATCTTACCCAACTTCTTGGTGAAGAAGAAGTGACCCAACTTGGTGTTGTAAAAGAACTGGAATCACCCCCAGGAATTTGCCCTTTTTAATTTCTTGGTATTTCCTTTCCCTTTGGTTGTAAACACAGAGGGAACTGGACCTTTGCAAGTTATATTCCCTGCTGTCTCTCAGCACCCACCACAGCACCAGGGCAGGGCATATAGTAGATGCTCAATAAATAGCACATTAATTAATGATTAAGAAGTAATCTTAAGAGCAAGATTGCAAAGCTGTAACAACCACTTCCATTTTCTAAGAAATATTTATAGATTCTGTACAATCTTCTGTTAACTTGCTCCAAGTCGGTGACTCACGTGCCCTCTACTTCAAACAGACCTCAGCTGTTCAAGTTAAGAAATTCTGAAGTATCAAAAAGTCTCATTACCTGAGCACTCAAGGAGTTGAGACAGACTTCAGTCCAGTCAAGCATGCTCTGACTGCTCCTTGTCCACAAATGCACTCTGAATCGAATGCCATAGGCATACATCCAGGGAAAGGGTTTTGCTTGGTTTCTCAATGCTTCTTTATGGGAAGAAACCCCACCCTACAGTGTAGTCTTGATTGTGAAGGACACAATGTCTTTCACAGAATTTTAAGACTATCGAGTTGGCTGGACTAAGTTCTAGAGGGAAGACCTTGAGAAATGACCAGGAAATGCCATCACAGGACCAGAACACTCTATTCTTTTGGGCATTCCTGTTAGATGGGATGTATGACCTGTGAATTTTAAAACAGAAAGGGGGAGGGATGTGGTTTATGCAGGGCACTGAGTAATAAGTAAACTTTAAAGTTTATGATTTAACCAAAGTGAATTTGTGGAATAAATTTGTCACCCTGGGTCAAAGATAGAATGGATTAATTCTCCTGTAATTCATGCTCACACTTGCCCGTAGCCAGGTAGAGCTGGGGCTGCGTTGAGTTGCCCTGAAACCTGCACCTGGAACTTCCCCACAGAAAATCTCCAGAATGGAAATCACTGGAAGACTGGCACCCTGAAAACTGTCTGCACCTTCACCCTGCTCCTCTGAACTCAGGCGACTTTCCAGGTCTTTCTTAAAACCTCCCAGCACTAGCCAGGTGTCAAGCTCCCCACTTAGCCTCCATCCCCCCAGTCCCATTCTCCAAGCCAAGGTCTGCATCTTCCTCTTCTAAATTAGCCAATGTTGGGTTTGGGAGGCTTTAGAGAGACCCCTTCTGCCCATTAGAGAGAAAGTGCAGGGATGTGGGGCAGGGTGAGGGAGGGGGTGTCAGGGAGTTGGCGAACTTTCCGGGAGTGGGGGTCTGCCGGCTCAGAACTTCTGCTAGCCACCCACTGCCATCTGGGCATCTAGTCTCCACAACCACAAAGGTGGAGCTGGGTGGGGAGGAGACACGTTGAAAAGTTGAAAAGTTTGCGCCTGGACAGAAGGAAAGTTTGTTGAGCATTTTCTTTGCGCTCAGAGATGCATTGGCACTGGGCACTCAGAATAGCACACAGCCACCACCTTCGAGAAGTTCAGGTTGAGACAGAGTTGCACAAGACACTGGGAAGAGGGTAAGAGATGGTGAGGGAGTGAGATTAAGCACAGAATGGGTCTTAACCCAGTTCGGATATCAAAGGCTCCCCGATTGGGGGGGGGGGCGGGAAGGAGGGAGATGAAATTTAGAAAGCAGCTCAAAATATGCAAAATGGAAGAACTCCCTTCGAAGGCCCTGAAAGGAGATGGTGCATCTTTTAGACCTTGCTGACAGAATTTCTGTTGTTCAGGGTCTCAGACGTCAAGTCCCCACGCATCTTGCCTTGAGTAGCTATGCTAGGTTAATTCTCCCGGCAAACTCGGAAAGCCAGGAGCACTGTAGAATAGCCTGGAGGACAGAGGCCAGAGTTTCAGGCTTCTGGTAAAGCAAGTGACACCTTTAGGCGAACTCTGTCCTAAGACCCTCCTCGGTATTGACCAAAACCTATAGTTCTCTTCAGGGACCACCTCTCCATATGTGAGTCTCGGGGTCTAAGAGGGGCAGAAATCGGCAGGGAGGGAGAGTTCAGAGGCAAAGCCCTGTGCAGCCACGGAAGGTGGAAGCCTGAGATGGAGACAGCACCCCACTAGGTAGGAGTCACCTGAGCTCTTGCTCAGCGCCCAGCTCCAAGGAGACTTGAATAAACCCAAGGCCAACCAGCACTGTGTTGGGTGTTTATGCGCCTGCCCGGTTCACCTCCGTGGTGCAGACTTTGCGAGTTTTAAACCTGAAGGCTGAGTTTTGTCGCAGAGTGAAGTTCATATCTTAAGCCCAAGAAGCTCAGAACTTGTTGGCACCCTTCTGGGTCCCTGCAACCTGACCTGGGAGCTGCGGAACTCTGAAAGGGTAAGTGACACCCAGATGACAAATAGCCATGCTACCTTCACTCCCCCTTTGTACCAATCGGAATTTAAACTGGGCAAGAAAAGTTTAGAGAGGAGCGGGCCAACAGTAGAAGGAAGAAATAGAAGGGAGGAAGAGGAACTCATCCTGAGCTGCCTCCCTCCGGGCAACCAGAGTTAACCTGGAATCTGAGAAGCAGAAAGAATCTATCAAGCCTTGCTCAGTTTCCAAGAGATTAGTCTGCATTAACCCAAATCTTTGTGTGTGTGTTTGGTGTTCCCCAAAGGTCCTCTCTGCAGATAGGAACTTTTCCCTCATTCCTTCCCTAAACATCTAGAAGGCCCAGTGGACTCCAGTCACCTGGCCCCAGGGCCTCTGACCTGAGAAGGGTTGCCGGATACCTTCCCAGCATGTACTTCCCGGTATTCCAAGCTAAATGAAACTTCCTGCAGAGGAAAAGAGGGTAGAAGGCATAAGGTAGAGGCCAGGGCTAGGGCTAAGAGGAATGTAGAGACCTGCTGGTGAGCATCTCCCGGTGGCGCCCTTGGCAGGTGGTGCATTCTTAAGTGCTTAAGTAAGCCAGGTCGGGAATCTGAGATGAGTAAATAGAGAGCAGACAAGAGGATGTTTCCTCTGGTGTTCGACAGATTTCCCCAGTCTCCCTTAGTTTCTTCTAGGAATCTTCGTTTGGCTGCAACCCCATCAAATCCTTGGACAAGTCATCACTTATCGTGGGGAGGTTTGGAGGTTTTCAGTTTCTATTTACCGGGAGTTACCACTTCCCATCTGAGTAACTTCTGGCAAATCACTTAGCCTTTCTCAACATCAGTTTCCTAATTTGTACAATGGGCATAGTGCCCACCTTTCTGAAGAGCATGCTAAAAGAGAGAAACTTCTTCCTCTCGAGCATGCTTACATGCTCCCTACACGTTAGAGAAAGACCCTTTTTCTCTGCCTACTCCTTTTCTGCCTACTTCCCCACCCCCAACTCCTCCGTGCCCCCAAAGCAGTGCGCATTTCTGGTCGGTCCTCCCGAGAGAGGCTAGTGCAAAAGCCAATAAGCCTGGAATACACGCAGGTCCTGCTGGGCCTGGGACAATGGTTTCCATTTAATAAATATTTCCCCCAAGGGCATTTCACATCGGGCAGGCAATTATTCAAAGGAAACAGGCGCACAGTTTGGCTCTGCGGGTTATTTCGTCCTCTTTACCCGAAGAATGCTCATCTGAGGCAAGAAACGAGTCTCGCATTCTTGCTGGGTGGGAAGAAGCGCCCAGGGACAAGCCGACTCTGGACGCCGATTTGTACTGAGACTCTACTCCAGAACCGCTGTCCTAGGAGTAACAACGGGAACCCCCAAACCCAGGTCAGCGCTCACCGGCCTCCAAGCCGCCCTTCAGGCTTGGACAGAAGGGGAGGGAAAGTTGGAGGTTTAGAAACACCAAATAATAACAAAAATAGGTGTGATGGAAATGTTATGCCCAGCTCCCTTCACGAAAGTGAAGAGCAGCAGGTCACCGCCTCCCGAAGGCTCACCAACCAGGGTTTGAAATCGCTGCAATCCAAATGCGGGGCCTCTCGGCACTGCCTCCCAGCGCACTCCCTAACCAGTTCGTGGCCCAGAGCTTCGCCCGGGAGCCTAATCCTGGGGCAGGAGTGGAGGTGGAGCTGCAAGGGCGCCCCTGGCGATCGCCTCCGAAGCACCCCAAAGGTATGTCACGAAAAGTTTATTTCTCCTTGCAACCGGAGTTTAGGATATCTTTTTCTTTTCCAAGAATCTTTGACAAGGGGCGGGGAAGGTGCTGGGGGGAGTGCTGGACTTGCATTTCGCGGAGAGGCTGTCCTATTTATCAGTGCGCGTTCTCTGCTAGCTCTCTTTGCTGCCTCCTCCCTGGGTCTTTGTATTCGAAGTCCTAATTCTCCTTTGCACAACCAGGAAAGGAAACAAGCACGAAGAGTTTTATTTGTTGACAGTGACAGAAACAATGAGGAACCAGAGTCCCCAGTCCTGAGCCAGCCGTTCACTCCTCTCCCTCTCACTGTCTACCCCTCACACCTCTCCCCGCCCCCAACGATTGCGCTCCCTCTTTCCTCAGCTGGCGCGTCGGCAGGTGCGCCCCCCTCGCCTTCTCTGCAGCTGATTGGCGCCCAGGTTGGGGAGTCGCCGCCCCGCGCTTATGTCAGAGTGCGTGCCGTCCGGGCCCACCTCGCCTTTGAACTTCGCCGCTTTTGGCTTTCGTTCACCAGCCTCCCCGCATTCTCAGCCAGGTGCCGCGCTAAGCCAGGCAGCTCCGGGAAAGCCACGGGAGGGGGGTGAGGGAGCTACTGCAGTAGACACAGCAGAGAAAAGAACCTGAGAAGGTGAGGGTGGAGAGGGGGAGAAGGAGGAGCTTCCTGCCCTCGCCAGAAAATTACCTGGCCACTTAATCCCAGAGACTCCGGTACTTGGGCCCCAACCTTGGGTGACCCGCAGCCCTCCCACACCCTGCCCTTCCTATTCCCACTCATCCCCCGGGGCCTGCCTGGGTGTCGGGACTGGCATGATCAGCTGAACTTTGTGGGGTGAGAGCTGCTCTCTGGCTTCCCCTCGGCGGTGCAGAGGCGAGGGGAACCGGCTCAGGACGGACAGACAGGCAGACAAACAATCGCGTCCAGGCTCGCCCACAGAGTCCCTGCTCTCCCGCCCCCCACCCGCCTAGCCTCCGGGACCATGTCCAAACCTTCAGACCACATCAAGCGACCCATGAACGCCTTCATGGTATGGTCCCGAGGCCAGCGGCGCAAGATGGCCCAGGAAAATCCCAAGATGCACAACTCAGAGATCAGCAAACGCCTAGGCGCCGAATGGAAGCTTCTATCCGAAGCAGAGAAGCGGCCGTACATTGACGAGGCCAAGAGGCTACGCGCTCAGCACATGAAGGAGCACCCCGACTACAAGTACCGGCCACGGCGCAAGCCCAAGAACCTGCTCAAGAAGGACAGGTATGTCTTCCCCCTGCCCTACCTGGGCGACACGGACCCGCTCAAGGCGGCTGGCCTGCCGGTGGGGGCCTCCGACGGCCTCCTGAGCGCGCCCGAGAAAGCCCGGGCCTTCTTGCCGCCTGCTTCGGCGCCCTACTCCCTGCTGGACCCCGCGCAATTTAGCTCCAGTGCCATCCAGAAGATGGGTGAAGTGCCCCACACCTTGGCCACCGGCGCGCTGCCCTACGCTTCCACCCTGGGCTACCAGAACGGAGCCTTCGGCAGCCTCAGCTGCCCCAGCCAGCACACGCACACCCACCCGTCCCCCACCAATCCGGGCTACGTGGTGCCCTGTAACTGTACCGCATGGTCTGCCTCCACCCTGCAACCCCCGGTCGCCTATATCCTCTTCCCCGGCATGACCAAGACTGGCATAGACCCTTATTCATCAGCCCATGCCACGGCCATGTAACCCCCTGCCAACGGCCAGACCTGGAGGGGGCCTGGAAGCAGGGTCTGCACCCTATCCGCTGCGCCTTGTCCCTGCAGAAGCCTGGGGAGGTCAGACCGGCAGACACTTCCTACCAGACCCCAGACTCTGCCTCTCTCTTTCAGGAGTATGGTAGGGGTGTCCTCCAGGACCCAAGGAACAGACAGGTGCCAGAAACTTGCAAATATTTTGTCAGTTATATGGCTGTCCCTACCCCTACTGTTCCCAAACAAATCTCCGACTGTATCCCCTTTGGACAAAAAAAGTAGGCAGTTTGCTTTTATTTATGTCCCCTTTTCTCTCCTCTGATGGGCTTTGAACTCCAGAACTCTCAGATCCTGGTATAAACCTAGAATATGCATATTTTTTTTCTTTTGCACCCTGAAGAAAAGAGTTAGCTGTGTCACTGTGTTTTGCCATAAGACACAACTAGGTGCCATTTGCTCTTCTTGTGTGGGGGGAAAGGCTTAAAAGTTTAAAACTACAGAAAGGGAAACATTTCTATTTAAAACCATGCTATAATAGTGTTTGCTTCTTTAAAGGTAAAACAAAAGGACCCACATGGTTATTTACTTTGTATAAAGCAGTGCTCCTAGACACCTAAGCTTACTTTTAGACAGAATGTCCGGTTATGAAGTCAGGAAGTAGAAAGTGAACAAAAAAATTAAAGAATAAAACATCTTAAATGGTCATAAATGTTTTGACGATGTCTTGGAAATGTACCTAGAAGGATTTCACCTCCTTACTCTGTTCATTTGTTGAACAAAGATGTTTTGAATAAAGACAATCTGTCATCACAAAAAGTAACCTTTGATGTGCATAAAATCTGAGTCTGAGGCCAGATCCTCAGGGCTGGGAGTCAGGTCGCTATGGTGCTGGAGATGCATGCAGGGAACCTGGCCTTGGTGGTAGGTGACTGGCCCACCAGAGCCACGTCTATCTGCTTTCTGGAAGGGTACAGAAAGCCCCCCATTCTGGAATTTACCCTGATTGTGCCCTCTGGAACCACTTTTTTTTTTTTTTTTTTTTTTACCTTTAGAGGCTGGACAAAGGTATCTATCCTTGGGACTTAGCCCCTTTCATGCATTCTCCAAGTAGTCAGACCACTTCAAGAAACAAATGAAGTAAGACAAAGGCTGACCTGGACCTGCAAGGTGCATTTTCTTTCTTTTCATTTTCTTAAACTAACCACCGGAGGAGTGAACAGGAGCCCAGGTCTACTGGGAACCAGTTGCTCATGTTAGCGCTATGTACTGCAGTCGTGTTTAAGTTTTAAGTGTTAAGGGGAAGACTGGTGGAATCTATTTTTTTAGGGTGTTTGAAAATGCTGTTGCTGCTGCTGCTGGCTGGCTTCTCTGAAGAATTTGGTGCTTGATACTGGTTCCCAGGTTAAAGAATAAAAGTCTAAGAAATTCTGGAAAATTCATCCTAGTTCTGCTCTGGGCTGTGGGAAGCTTTTTACTTAGATCCTGAGCAAGCAAAAGGAAAAGGAAGGTGATCGTGTCATGATTGGAGTAAAGAGTTTTAAAAATCATAAAGATCAAGTAACTCATAGCCCTTAGTGTTTAACAGACAAGGAAGAGAGACTCTTTCCTTTCTGTACTCAGTGAATGTTAGATTAAAGATTGCTTTTGTTGGGTGGAAAGGACTTTCTGGTGCCTTCTAGTAGAACGTTTTGGAACTTGTTTTTAAAAATGAAGGGCGCTTTTTCCCGACCTCCTTCTCCCTCCAATCTCACCCACAAAGTCATGTTAACGGATGATTTTGCTTCTTTCTCTGCTTTTCCCTCTGGCTTTGATATAGTGCTAGAAGGGAGGGGGCAGCCTAGCGGCTTGTCAGCTTTCTACTGCTGTTGAGGGATTTGTGAGCTTCTCTCTGCCGCTTCCAAAGAGTCAGTGGCTGGAGGTGTACATAAACGTTGTCAACAGACACCAAAGCTGAAACCCATGGATTAGCATATTGTCCTCAAAACAATTAGAAGTGTTTGAGGTGCTATTTGGAGCCTATTCATCTGCGCCCCTTTGTCAAAGGGGGATTTTCATTATTAAAAAAAAAAGTTAGCAGTTGTCCATCTGGCTGAGCTGAATAGCAAAGTGATCCGTGTTGTATATGCTTTTCTCATTAAGAGCTCTTTTGAGACCTATGTTAGAATTAAATGGTATAACACAATTAACATACACGGGCACTGAATAGGAGGGGACGCCTATAAATAATAGATAGATAAATAAATGAGCGATCAGGCGAAGGTAAACAAAGGGTGATGGGGGACTGAGGGGGGAGGCCAGGCGGACTGCGCCACGCTTACTTAGCATCACAAAACCCTCTTACAAATCGAGACAATTAGGAAGTGACTTGCCTCTGGTGGCCGTCGGGTCTAGGGGCTCTTGGTGCCTAGGGAAGTTCCCTCCTCCCGCCCCCCAGGAAGCCCAGGAGGCCTAGGGCGGTGGCGCTGCGGTTTCGCTGTCTGATATAACCCCAACTGACAGTCCTGTCAGCCGCCCTGATCTCCCTCATAGCTCAGTGTCCTTTAACATCTCCTAAGATGAGGCTTACAGGGGTCTGTCTCCCCGCACAGACTAGCGCACCAGCGCACTGAGAGTAAAGTGTGTCCCCAGTTAGATGAGGAACCCCACGAGCACTGCCCCGCCAGGGCGCCCAGCCAGGTCCCAGGCGGGGTTCAGCTGAGAAGAGGCACCAGTTGGGTCCGAGTTAAGAAGGTCTCCCGACAGAAGCCAGAAAACTGAAACCAGAGTTCTAGAGCTTTGCCCTGGGGGTCCCTAAGGGAACTCCAGGAAACTGGGGTGCGCTGTAGCAGAGAGGTGCCTGCGTGCTGGGTAATTGCGACTTTCCCCAGCCTACAGAAAGCAGGGGGACCGGCGCAGGTCTTGGTACCTAAAGCGGCAGTCCACAACCAGGGAGGTTTCCACCTCCTCTCCTTCCTGTCCAGGACGGCTTTATCCCGCAGCCTGCCTTCCTTAGCCCTGGCCCCAGCTTCGGCCCCGCAGGGCCCCGCCTCAGCCTAGCAGCCCGCTCCCCGCGGGCTTAGAGCCTCCGCCGGGTGCGCGGCCGCGACTCGCCCTAACAAACAGCCGAAATCCTCCCCGTCACGCTGCTGACAGGGGCCGATTACTGACTTTGAAGTCAGGCGCAGACAAAAAGAAATCCCCCGGGGGGCATGGGGTAAAGGGGTAGGGGGAAGCAGTCCCTGTCAAACCTGTTTGCTCACAACTGTCTTTTTCTTTCAAGAAAATCATTAAAGCAAAACTGTAGAGCAAGGGGAGCCCCGCCCGCTCCGAGTCGTGAAGAACCGCTTCTCCCGAGCGCGCAACGCGCGGCAACCAAGAGCCATGAGGTGCCTTCGACACCTCACTTGGCTCGCGAACTCTGGCAGCCTGCGGGGCTTTTGGTAACCTGCAGGAGGCAATTCTGTCGACCCCTCTAGGGCTTTGCGCGTGTCCTGCCTGGGAGGCCCGGACTTCTGCCCGTTGTTAAGGCCTCCCTAGAGCGGGAGTGCAAGAGCAGTATCCTGCCTGAGGCTCCAATTGATTCCAGAAGGGGGAAAAATTGACCCCAAACACTTGTAGTGGAGTCCTCACTTCCCTGTTGAGTGTTTCCTTGGACCACGGAGACCAGACCGACAAGTTGCCCTGCTAGAATGACAGCAGGCGGGGGCAGAGTTGTTCTGGTTTTGGTTAGGTTTTCTTTCTTAAACCTGTTCGAGCATCTAATTCACAAGCACCTTGGCCACATCTTCTGGGACTTGCGAGCTTCTTCTGGGACATGCGAGCTCGTTGGCTCTTTTCCCCACTCCTGATTGCTCACAAAAACCCTCTCCAGTTTCCAAGTACTTCTTTAGCTTTGGGGCCGACTCCAAAATCCTTTGAGCCCCTTCCAAAGATCCAGTTTTCCCATTAAGATATCGATATTTGGAGCCAATAACTAACGATGATAAGAACCAGTTACTTAAAATAAAAATCACACTACGGTGTGAATGACTACCATTGAGACCTCCCCACCCCCCCCTTAACATTTGCATTTTTAAATAAGATCTAGATAACTACCAGAAAAATCTCATCATCTAAAGCAGGATGGTGTCTTAGGATAGGGCCTCCTAAGGGACATTTCATTACAGCTTACCACCTAGAGAAGTGAGAAACTTCTCTGGAGAAATCTGCAGCTGCCAAGGCTAAAGAAAACTTGGCAAGCTGAGTTGCCAGGACTGCTTTCCCTAGACTGCCGGGAGGATTCTGCTTTTCTTAGGCACCTCCCCAGTTCAGGTCCTATCACCATTGTTCAAGTGGACAATGAATTTCAAGTCATTTGAATTTGATTATCACTTAATTCACAATAGTCCTGTTAAGAACTCTAATCTTTATTTGCTAAGTAGGTTATGCTGTGCGTGTGTGAGTATGAAAAGGAAAAAAAGAGAAGGGGGTCCAATAAATGTGGGTATAGGAGATATCTGTCATTTGCTTCCAGTCTCTGACCATTTAGCTTCTGGTCCTTTCTGGCCTTGGAAGTGGTCTATGAGAACCAAAGCGCTTCTTGGGTGGTTTCTTTCTACACGCAGGAATGGACCTGGAAACAGAAGCGCTGGTGCTGCATAGCTACAGAGTAGCTAAGTATTTAAGTATTAAGTTAAAGTATTTGGGGGCAGGGGAAGGCTGCTAGAAATCTTGGGACAACGAAGCTAACTGGAGATTCAAGGTCTTCCCCTCCCAAACCCTGGCTCTGAGCACACCTGGAGGGCCTTCTCCTTGGTAATGTCCACCAGGTATCAGGAAGGAGCCGGCAAGTAGAAACAAGAGAATGTCCCCTCCCCACCTCCCCTTACTGGCTCATCCATGACCTGAGAACAAGGATTTAGGAGTTATGCTCTCTCCAAGTGGGGAGGGCAGCTGGCCCTGAACGTTCTTGTGCGGTTTCCCAGATTCTCCTTTGCTTCCCGGAAAGCCCTGCACCCGGCAAACTCTCCGACATCCAAAGACCTCAGGAGTTTGGTCGAGCTGGGGAAGGGAGCAGGTGCCCAAGTCGGAAAGAGACCCTAAGGAGTCCTCAGATTTTCTCTTTGCTAAAAAAGTGGAGTTGTATGTACTATGCTGGCGGCCAGGGGCTATTCCCAACTTTCTCACTTTTGCGTTGGAAAAAGAAGGAATTCAGATTAAGATCCTTGCCTGCTGGGCAAAGATGAAAGTGGCTTCAGAGAAGCTATCAGTTCAATGGGCCACATTCGAACAGGAGCTTGGAGAAGGAAGACCAAATTGGACTGCCGCGCTCCGGGATTCCCGAGTGCTAGGACGCAGAGGGGTCCTTGGTATTCCAAGCCATGGGACCGCCTCCTGCTCCCTGCCCCGGAGTTCAGCCTCTTCTGGGTGTCTCGGGACCGGGTCAGTCTCTGAACCCCGAGGCCCTATGGGGTCTAGAGCTGCATTAAGAATATGGGGAAGTGGTTTGGTTGCGGCGCGCTCTTGGTTCCGCGAGGGAAGCGGACGCAGAGCTACAGCCTAGCTAGAGAAAGGCGGAGAGCGGGGAGACCAAAGAACTGCTAAGCAGCTCCCGACTTCCTAGAGCCTGGCCAACCCCCAGTGGGCTCTCCGGCCGCCCCGCCCGAGGACCGAGGGAGGAGGGAGAGAAATAGGAAGGAGCAAGGGGCCGAGGCTCCCGCCGCTGGTCCCCGTTCGCCGGCACCCCCCGTGGTGCGGCGAGTCAATGGGATTTGCACACTCGAGGTGTAACAGCATTACTGCATTAATTACCATTTTCATTTCACGTCCAGATTGTTTACTTAT